ATATATATATATATATATATATATATATATATATATATATATAATCATCTTACTTAACTCCAAAACTTGCATAATTATTTGTAAAATGTTACACAACTTTTTGTTCACCATAATGTAATGTACAATTATATTACGAGATCTACATTTAGCATCAAATATTCTCGAATATTGGCATTATCTATAGCCCAATACTGGGTCTGTACCGAAGCCAGAGTTTGACCTGTCTTGCAGCCTTTACTGAGTCTAGATCTGTATTTTATGATGGTTCATTGTCCAGATCGTCAACCGGTACCGGGACAAAATTGGTTGCCGACTTTTGGCCGCCGATACTGGACCAATGTTTGGCCAGTTCAACTGGCTTGGCAATTTCTACGTGAGTCTATAGAACATCCTGTACTATCTGGGAATGACGTCAGGTTAGTTTCGACAGAATCGGTTCGATTTTTACTGAAGAATTAAGAGACACTTTCTCAGAAAACTAAACTGGATCTCTCCATGCTGTCACTCACGTCACGCTGTGTTACCCAAGCCGCAAGTATAAAAAAGCTGTTAAATCATAGAGTTAATCAATAGCGCGCTATAATTGGGGTAAATCTTCTTCACTCAATAACATTACTATTGAATCAAAAAGATTTACTATCATGACATTGTTGACCAATTCTACTGATGCAACAACATTTTTTCCGTGTATAAAAAATGTGATTTTGTAAAAAAAAAGTTCAGAAAATTTTTCCATTTCTGCAATTTTTCTCAATGAAATTCTGACCGAAAGGGCAATAATACCCATTTTTCCAACATAATCTCATCTGACGTTATTTCCTAGTGAGTCAGTTAAACCGCGGCGATTAAAATTATTCAACGCTACGTAACGAGCGGCCGTTAGAGCGAACTAACTAAACGAGGGGGATATAACGATTTTACCTGGCGTACATGCATTTTATCGACGATCATGCTGGATGTTACGGATCGAGATCGAGTCAGTTATACTGATTACGACGGCGAGCACTTCGATGGGCGCACGCGTGTCGCGTCGCACACGCCAGTGACGAGCTTGAGGTGTGATCAATCGCTCGTTGTCGTGGTCTCGCACTGCTTCGTCGCCGTTGATTCCGATGGCTCCGTTCGTACGCGCTTGTACATCGAGACTGACAGGCAGTCGGTCACGAAGTAGGCGGTGTAGGTAGGTATACGCGTGAGACGACGATCGGCATTGCCCGATGTCTGAGCGACCGCGCCGCGTGTACGTAGTACAACTAGTATTTGGAACAACGTGAAAGTAAAGGCCACGTGTGACTCCGTTCATTCCACAGGTGCGCAGCTCGATAACGCATCCGATTCACGCCCAATTGGAACACCAACATATTGTCAAGATTTTTTATTTTGTCACGTTTTTTGTGAAATCGAACCATGTAATCGCGTGATTGTTAATAGTTGTGACACTAGAAACTTGTCGCATGTGAGATACTCAAATATTTATTCAGAATGAGGCCTGTGTTAATCAAGTGAGATATTTAGATTTCAATTTGGAGTTAGATAAGAACTTTTCAGGTGGATTACACGACTATAGATATAAATGTCACATATACCATAATTCGATTGCAGAACTTGGATTTAATTCTGAGTAAAAAAGAGGGTATGCAAAATTAAAATTTGAAAACCGTTATTCAAACAAGAAAATGTTACATATTCTTATGTATTTTGAATCGTAGAATTCGAAAATGACCATGAAAATTAGGGGACTAGCGGGGAAAACGTGGGAAATTAAAAAAAATGGGAAAAAACATGAAATTGTAAAAACTCTCTGACGTAATTTTTTTACATTTCTACGTTTTCTTGCGTTATTTTTTTCTTGTTATTTTGAGTCACAAAATCTCTAGTGAACTATCTGGAGGTACTCAACATATTGCTCGACATTTATTCAATATATTTGTGATGGCATATTAATGAATAAAAAACATATTACTTTACTATTATAATAATTTACGTAATTACACATATGTATATGCAATACGAATTTTGCCTTCATTGGCTGAATATCTTACTATAAAAACCTCGATAACTTCGAGACAGTTAACATAATGTGAATATAATTATAGCATTTTGAAAAGATCTCAAGAAGGGCTATAAGAATATGTAATAAAAAATAAGAGGTTTCAATAAAAAAATTCAAGATAATTTTTGTTTGACTTTGGCGACGTAATCAAAAGTTAAACTGATAAAGAGAGTAAATAGATATTTTTAAGCCATACAACTTTTATCTCAAACATTTTTTTTCTACAACTATATTTCTCAAAATATTTCGCTGAGCTGGAACTTTTTGCACACCTTGTACATATGTTAAGTACCTCCAAATAGTTGACTCGAGATTCTGCGACTCAAAATAACAAGAAAAAAATAACGCAAGAAAACGTAAGAGTAAACGTAAAAAACTACGTCACGAGAGTTTTCACGATTTCACGTTTTTTCCCATTTTTCTTAATTTCCCACGTTTTCCCCGTTAGTCTCCTAATTTTCATGGTCATTTTCGAGTGCTATGAGTCAAAATACATAAGAATATGTAATATTTTCTTGTTTGAATAACGGTTTCCAAACCCAATTTTGCATACTCTCCTTTGAGTATTTCACATAAGACAAGTTTTAAGTGCCAACTAATAATACGAGCCTTAGTTTTACAGTTAAATTATATAATATATGTGATATTTATATCTGTAATTTAACTGAAAAACAATTATTAACTTAATAACAATTATTTAACTGAGAAACAATTATTAATTTTTATAAGTTTCTTTGTTATACAATTTTTATTTAATTTTTATTAAATTTATTGCAATAACTATTAGTACGGACCTTAAAAATTTATCTCGCCGCTTTCAAATAGAAGAATAACGCGATAAATAACGTTTGAAAATGTTGTTGGCAAATACGCACTAATAAACTGTCCTCTTTTCGCTCAAGCGATCGGAGCACACTTTTTAAAGTATAATCAGTCTATTTTCTTTATTGAAATGGTATATTTATGATTAATGAGTTCCATTATAAGTGTAATATTCTAACCACGGAACCAAAATCTCACTGAAAGGATTAGTGAACAGTAAGGTCCTATGAGTAGTTAAGTAAAATTAGTTAATAATAGAAGCTGCTTCCATTGATGCACTTTGTAAATGCAGACAGTGTCATTGCACGCAAGACATATAGAAACTATTAATTTTGTCATCACAAACGCAGAAAGTTGAATTTAGTATAGCGCATAATGAATTTATGTATATTGTAAATTTTGCAGTAAAATTTTACTTCTACTGGTTAAAATCTATGAGATATAAGACTGAACAGTAAAGACGGAGTGTTTTCATTGAAAATCAGTGAATACTTACTGATCATCGGTAAAATAATCCTTTTATTAATTTAATCAGATATTTTTGCTCATTCATTTTTGCTAATTCACTTTAGAGAAGCATGAGAAATGCAATTGTATAAATTTAGAGAAAGCTGATGATATTATAATAAATATTCGATAAAGTTCACGTTAAGTTATGTGACTGGAGAAGAGTCGATCTGCTTCGAACGGAACTCATCATGTTCACTACCAAGTAAACGTCACGGCGCTAATAATAGAAGTGGATTACTTATAATACTAGTCATACTGACGATATAACACGTATATTTGCGTCACACAAAAAAGCTGCATTTATGTAGCGCAATTATCAATACGCGCTGAAGGAGTCCAATTAAGGAAACTGGCATCAATTTAGTTGTTAGATATCTTTATGCGCTTTATTTGTGTATATTGTAGTAGCGAGATTACAATTTATCACACGAAGCGTATTTAAGTAGATTTATTATGATTGCATCATAATCTTTTGTTTATAGTAAGATAGATAGTGAGAGACAAATATCATTGGACAAAAATCGAATAAAATTGTGATTTGAAAAAACCAAACAAAGTAATTTTATCGTCGAGATCCTCTTAAGATCCTCTTAAGATTCTCAATACTCGGATTTTCTTTGAAATTTTCGTCAAGGTAAAACTCACTGATAAAATTCACTAAAAAATTTTATTGAAATTTTCTGCACAAAGAAAAAAAGTTTGATTGAATTCACATAACAATGAACAGACCAAAAACGTTTTGATTAAAAAAAAACAGAATTTCTGAGTTTTAAAATCGAATCTTGTTTATAAGAATCAGAAATTCTGTTTCCTTCAATCAAAATGCGTTTCTTTTAAAAGCATTTCTTTCTGTGTGGACATGTATAATTAAGTATAATACTCTCTAAATTTCTAAATTTCTTGGAATGAAATTTCAATTTTTTCAAAAAATAGAGTGATTATCAAATTACTCAAGTTCGAGTAATTTTGCGCTTATATAGAACACTTACAGAAATATCATACTAATAATCATTGATAATTACTTATTTTCAGTATTAAAAATACTGGATAATAAGTAATTATCAATGATTCTTAGTATAATATTTCTATAAGGGAATTTTCTATTGAATTGAATTTTCTTTCAAATTCCCCGTTCTCTATTAAATTTGAATCATGAATATTTTCACTCGAAATTGAAAAGTGATTCTGATGCAATTCATCGTTACAGAAACATTTATTTTAATCGATTGAAATTTATTTATATGGAATCGAAATCTATTTTAAACTCTTTAGTGAAATCTTTGTTCTTGCTTCTAACGACAGTATTTTCACTATCGCTTCAAGTGAAAATAATACTATTTTTCACTCAATTTTGAACAAGACTCTACTTCAAAAAATTTAAAGAGAGTATATGATCATAAAAAGAGATCAAATTTATATATAATTGTATATAACTATATTTTTTATGAGTTGTCGCATTAATTAATCTTTTTTCTGTGTGCGATATGAGTATTGCTACGTAACGCACTATAGAGATTTTATTCACGTACTCGACCTCGAAGCGAGATATTTTGCGCATTACAGAATTTGCTGTGAAAACGGTGAGATCGAATCGTGTCGACAAACACAGGGATAAATTGCTCAATAAAAATGTAGCCGATCGACGGTGCATGAGCGTAAATTTGACATCAGGCATTTATTCAGCGATTTTGTAACGTTGAAGATCGTGGGACAACACCATCCCACGCTCCAACGCGGGTTATTCAACATATGGAGCAATAATCTGGTCCTTCGTATTTTCTTATTTTTCTTCACGAATACTGGGCATTAACGATTGTTCAACCTTTGAAAACGTTTACGAGCTACATTTACTTCGTCGTCACGAAATTATGCAATGCGATGCGCTTAAGTGCGCAGCGATAATGATTATTTCCTGAGACCTTGAGATAACATCGCTACCAAGTGAAAGTAATGTAGAGACCGGAATTTTCGTAGAAACATGTCTAATTATGAGTAATTTTGTCAGCTAATAGTTAGTGAAAGATATTTTCTCGCCGCAAAGAATAAACAAACTCGTAGAATGTGTTCATATTTAAATTACGTAAACTATACATTATGTACATATTATTAACATATTACAGATCAGTCATTTTATTACTCAGATCAAGTATTCGTTCGAGGATTTTCAATTTTCTTTTTAATATCCAAATTAGGAGAATTTAATAATAAAAATAACGAATCTCTTACACCAACATAATATTGTTATGTTACAACACAATTCTCATGAAAGAATTCTCATGATCAGTTCGTAATGTGTTAAAAGAATTATGAATACCTTTACAATTTAAAAGTTTAATTTTACCTCTTCTTGTATCTCGAAGTTGGCTAAATTGTCCGGATGATCTGAAACATAATTACAAACAATGTTTGCCTTAGATAGTGCCAAAATTATTTAGATAAAGATAAGATGAAAATCCATAAATCTCAAATGAGATAAATTGTTTTTAATTTATGTAGGTGAAGAATGAAATAATTAGCGCGATTTTTGTTTCAAGATTATTTATAAAAATTTATAAAAACATTACATATATCACAAAAGAGATATTAAAACAGTCCTCACAATTTTAAGTTTTTTTTTTATCAAAAATAAAAATTTTCTTTTAATGTTTTGTCCAATGAACAGTTTTTTGATGGGATGTACTTATTTGTTGTATTAAATTAAAAAGGCATTCTAGGATATTGAGATTTATTTTTCGTTTTATTATACTCGCGGAATAGCATATCGTCTAAGAGAAATCATAAATATAATATAATTATATAATTTCTAATGCTCCCCTCGCTATCACATCAAGTTAATGTAAATATTATTTAGCCTGTCATTAAAATTACACAATGAAACAGATAAACTATAAATTAGCTCTGTTATGTATATCGGACATGCGAACGTTTATTTAAATCACTTAAACTACAATTAAGCAATGACTGATGTTTAGTAAAAGCGCACAAAAGTGAGTTGTGATTTATAAGTGTCAGTAGACAGCGATTTTGAATAGCAGTAGACAGCGGTGGCTCATAACAATTAGTTTATAACATCCAAAATCATTGAAACGATTCTACTGACGCCGATGTTAGGAATTTATTATATTTAAAATCTTAGGAATTTATTATATTTATTATATTTAAGAAAAATATTTTTAAGAATTAGAAAATTCATAAGAGAATGGAGATCATCGAGAAATCTTTACCTTCAGGTATAGAGCGTTTTTATGAGATGTAAATAAACGTAGTGTGAGATTGAATATTCTAAGAAATTATGTAGTAAATATAATATTTAGTATCTAAATAATAAAAAATAGCGTTTATAGAAATATACCGAACTTTTCTATTTTGAACTTTTTATAATGACAAAAAGCTTGGAAAACGAGTAAAATTAAAAACCAAATCTGCTGTGCATAAGTCGTCTTAAAGCATAAGCTAGAATAAATTACACATATTTTATTTTATATTAATTGCGTTAAAATATTTCATAGATTTAGAAATAAAATTGACATTTTTACAAGTTTATATTTCGGCTTACAGAACACGTAGGGCAAAAAGTAATTACTTGTATGTCTCTTTCTATTATCTTGTGCGTCTCTATTAAATCAATTAATGCACAATATAAAGCTTAAGAAAAATAAAAATAGAAATATTTACTGTATTAGTAAAATGTGTGCATATATTTATTTGAACTTTATTTTAAATTAACATTTATTATACTCCGATAATGAAATAAATATATAGAAACGTAATTTTGTTTGATAAATAGGAAGTTTATGAATGATTCTCTTGATATGATACTGAAAATACTTACAACCTTCTTAAAGAAGCTATATCATTCTGTTCTCTAAATGCACGACATGCTCTATCGAACATATTCTTACATTCTATCTCACAATTAATCATCGCGTCGTCATCAATTAAGTGGTTGTTTGAGACAACTTGTTTCGTCCGAATGATTGAATTCATTGTATGATTGCTTGTAGACTTTGCAGCTTCATGTTATTCTATATAAATTTGTTTCAGTTATGGGTGATGGCAGAAAGGGATTATTGTTTAGCACTTATCATAATCAAGTAAACCATGACAAATCGTCGCGTGAACTTTTACTCGTCGATCAAATAATGAATATTATCGACAATTCGTTTTGATATTGATACCAGAATATCGTACCAGAATATTGAGATTTATTTTTTGTTTTATTACACTCGCGGAATGGCATATCGTCTAAGAGAAATGATAAATATAATATAATTATATAATTTCTAATGCTCCCCTCGCTATCGCATCAAGTTAATGTAAATATTACTCAGCCTGTCATTAAAATTACACAGTAAAACGGATAAACTATAAATTAATTCTGTTATGTATATCGGACATGTGAACATTTATTTAAATCACGTGTACTTAAACTACAGTTAAGCTATGACTGATATTTAGTAAGAGCGCACAAAAGTGAGTTGTGATTTATGAGTGTCAGTAGATAGCGATTTTAAATAGCGGTAGACAGAGGTGGCTCATAACAATTAGTTTATAACATCCAAAATCATTGAGACGATTTAACCTTTTAAATAGGGTCACAGTTAGTTCATATATCAACGAAAGAATCAAGATTATGCGAACAGATGTAAAGACCTTTGCATGTAGAAAAATTTTAACTGTAACCGTAAGGTCGTAAGAAAACTGACCAATCACAGTCGATTATTCCTGGAACGCAAGGAGAATAATCAACTCTGATTCTTACGGTCAGTTTTCTTATAATCTTATGGTTACAGTTAAATTTTTTCTACGTGCAAAGGCTTTTATGATTATAAAACTGCGAAATATCGATTTACGTCACAAATCTCACTCGCAGTCATTATCACTCGATCCGATTGGATTAAATCTTTCGCGCAAGATCGGAATATGAATATGAGGGAAGGGGGAGGAAAGGCGAAAATTCGATTATACAATTACATTCCCGATAAATTTATGAAATGAATAGCGACTGGAAAATTCAGTCGCGCGCGCGCGACGAATATCCCGGCTTTTTATTTTTTACGATATAGGAAGTGAGATATCACTTATCATGCATCCTGTGTCATAACGTGTCATTTGAGATTAATGACGTTTTATAAAAAAGAGTTATCATGATATTTCTTAATTGTATGACATACTTGACATTTCTGGAAGAGATAAAGAAATCTGTTTTATCAATATAAAAATATTTTCTCGAGTATCGTCAAAATAAAAATATTTCCTCAAGTATCATCAAGATAAAGATATTTTCTCGAGTTTAACTAAATCATTATTCAACGAAATATGGTTAACTGTGCAGTATTTTTCTTTTTTCACCTGACTTATTCAAATAACAAATGCACAAAACAGTTCCTCAATTAATTCTACTATAAAAATATTACACCTCATTTACTTATTATTTATTATTAAAAAAGGCTAATAAAAATCAAATCACAGTTGGTCGTGTGCAAACATCCTATTAAAAGAATTACAAATATTTATAATTTAACAGATTTATAAGCTAATTTTTCAATAATATAAAATGCGCAAATTAATTCGATGCCTTTTTTTAAAGAAATTATGTCTTTACTTACAAAAAAAAAGAATAAATATACCAGTGTTCGAAATGTTCATCATTATTTTCTAATACTTTTCTCCATCTATCGGGGAGTTGACAAATCTCCTCTTGAAGAAAAGACGGCGGCCTTGAATCGGTAAAATCATCGATATATTTTAGTTAGTAAATAAATTAGTAAAACAATAACAGTTAGTAAATTAATGTTTTTTTATTTTGTTGTTCAAACGTATCATTGTTGTACGAGTCATTGTTGATAATATTTAACATTAATTATTTAACCAGGTTGCAACTCATAATATATTACACTCTTTATATCCTATAAAAAATTTTTTTACATAAATATTCAGTTCCGCGATATCGATGATCGTGATATCATCCATAATTTTTTTTTTTTTTTTTTTTAGAATTAACGTATAAAATCCATTTGTTTTATAACCAGCAATGATTTTGTATGAAAAGTCTTTTATTTTATACTTTAGCAAGGACATTACCGTGTCGAATCTTCTTAGGTTGCTCTTCAGGCTGCCCTTATAGAAATATCATACTAAGAATCATTGATAATTACTTATTTTCAGTATTAAAAATACTGGATAATAAGTAATTATCAATGATTCTTAGTATGATATTTCTATAAGGGTGAGCTCGTGCAGAATCCATCTACCTAATTTTTAAAATTTTTCTCAGCTTATGCAAGCGCACTAAAATTGATTGGCAAGTTACTCCTAGTAACGCAAGTCATCTTGAATCTTAGAGATTTTAGAGATTTTCATTTAACAGTTGCTCAAGTTTCTCGTTTTCAAAATTTTCCGGTGAGTTGAGACAGTCTATCAGTATGACAGAAATCATTACTCCGAAACTTTTGGTACCATTTCATACGTTACTGCACCTTTTCTTAAAGCTGAGAGATGAGTAATCATCAATTATATTTGCAGCCTCGGCAATTTTTTCCAATTAGAAAGCAAAGAAAATGTAATGTTTAGTATACTCCCACACAACATGCATATCTAAAAGACGTTTTTAAGACACCTTTAAGACGTCATATATAATACGTCTTAATTTTCACGTCTTTAAGACGTCTTTTAGAAGTCTTCTTTAAGACGTCTTAATTCTAATATTCTTAAAGACGTCTTTCTTAATGTGTCTTTAAGACATTTAATTTCTAATGTCTTTAAGACGTCAACAGAAAGACGTCTTATAGATGTCTTATTTAAGACGTCTTTATGATATTATCAAAAGATGTCTTATTTCAATCGTCTTTAAGACGTCAACAGAAAAACGTCTTATTTCAGATATCTTTATGACGTCTATTAAATGCCATTTTTAAGATTATGTATAACTGTCTACATTACCGACTATAAGATTCATACACGCCGTTGCTATGGCAAATAACGACTTCTTGCGAGTATCGTGTATGTGAAATATATCAAATAGAGAAGTTATTAAAATGTGAATTGTTTTATAATTTGGTCAGTTTGTTTTTAAGTTACAGTGCCGACTGAAAATTTCCTTTCTTGCATACAAGTAGTTATTGGAAATAATAGACTGGATTTGCTTATCCGTTCTGCTCAGGATTAAAATTAGGATCAATAACAGTTAGCCAACGTTGATGGTATCCGACATCGTATTTAAATTTTATAAATCATGTATTATCTATAATATTATTATTAAGCAGCATATGTTTTAAAATTTAAAATATATGATGTACAAATATTATCATTATCTAGTCCTGAGCCAAATGTATGAGCGAATATCATAATTTTCAACCGACTGCAGCAAATAAATAAAAATAAATAAAATCTCCTCTTTCTATATGTACATTATTATATATATATATATATATATATATATATATATATATATATA